GATGGTATACGAGCTCTGCCAGAAAGATGGGAAAAAGTAGTAGCTAGCGATGGGCAATACTTTCAATGATTCATTTGTAACCATTTTTTCACAATAAAGTTGCATTTTCATCAAAATAACAGCGAGAACTTAGTTGCGCACCTAATATTATGTAAAAGAAAATATACATATTTTATATGTATAGAAAATATTTATGTAATCTTAATTATATACAGGGTTGGTCATATTCGACGGAAAGATCTGGCAACACTGTAACTTTTGACAGAGATGTTAGATCGAGTAACGACGTTTCCCATGATTGAAAAAAAAAACATCTTTCCGTCGAATATGGACAACCCTGATATATATTTACAAGTTTTACTTTCTTTTTTCTATCAAATATGCCAACAAGTGGTAGCGGAGCACAAGTAATATTTAACGATATGAAATGTTTCAAAAACAATTATCCTCGAAAGTGAGGAATATATTGGACCTCAAGACAAGGGAATGGACCAAGTAGATATTTCTATACATTGACAGAAATGACAAAGAGATCACGAGTATAATTATTTTCATAACTGAATATATCACGTAATTCACATCGAGAGTGTAGAAGTGAAACATCCGAAACATGTATATATTTGATGTGTATATTTTGTACGTTACATCTAATATTCGTACGGGATAGTTATTGCTGAAATATGACAATACATAAATATTACACATTGATGCATACAGGATGTTTGATAAAGATCATAACAATTATGCTTAAGGATAAATTCCTAAGATTATTTTGAAACGAAAATTATAATACTAAAATGTCGAGGCTTTAATAAAGTTATCGAATCATATCGCCTAAAGTTCGCGCGTTCGGATGTGATACAACGAAAAATCCAGCCTACCTAAGCGCGCGAACTTTAGGCGGTATGATTCTTCACTAACTTTAAGTGCTTATATAAATTTAAAAATTATTATACCCTCGACATTTTAGTATTAGAATTTTCTGTTTCAAATGCTCTCAGGAATATACCCGTAAAGTCGTTACGGTTTTTACCGCACACACCCAGTGTACGTGCATGCGCGCGCGCGTGTATTGTACGCACAGAGTAACTCGAAATTTGAGGTTAATATATTATTGCAGCATGAAACTTCGTAAAAAATTAAGTGATAAAAGTATAAGCCATTTTTTCCCATAAAGTAGATTTTTAATATAAACGTTTTAGAATAAACGTTTAAGTTCAATTAATAATCATAAGCGCGTTGCAAAGCGTTAAAAAATCATATTCATATGATGTTATGATATTAGAATGCAATGATATTAGATACTAATCACAAATATTGCCACGCGCACTGTCCTATCATAGTTAAACTTTAAATGTTTATATTTAAAAAATTACTTTATGGAAAATGACTTACACTTTTATCACTTAATTTTTCACAAAATTTCACGCTGCAATGATATCGAATTTCAGGACGTGTGTGTGTGTGTGTGTGTGTGTGTGTGTGTGTGTTTAATGCCATTAATTATTTCAACGGAACACTAATATAAAGATGAAAGTCTCATCTCGGTAATCTGTAAGTATAAAAATATAAATACATTTTAATATGTATTGATAAATATCTATAGCGTTACGATTATTTAAATTGTAAAGATGTATGCGGGCGCAAGGATGGATCCGGTAATGAATTAGTGCCCGAGGTATTTCTTCGTAAGTTTAAAAGACGACTCTCTTGCTCTGAACTACAATTTGTATAATATATATGTATGCAACAAGCAAATTTTTTTTGACACTTGTTAGCAAATAACATTGCTTTACGACTTACCGATTTACTAAATTCTCATTGCTGTTTTCCTTTACAAACGTTACCAATCCGTATAAGTTATGTTTATCCAATGTCCCATTGTAAACTAGCAAGTCATCTACTAATATCTACAATATAAATATAAATATGGTTTTAATACAATTTGAACAAATTAGAGAATTATCAGTGACACTTGTGTGTCACTGCAATGCAATTGGTTTCTCTTACTGCAAATTCTTTAACTCTCCTTTGTGAGGTTTTTCCATAATTCCAGATTTTGATCATTGATACCATAATGGGATGATAAAATATTAAATACACGCGATTTGTCTGAGAAATACATATTGGGAATATTAAATAGAAATTAATTGACTATTATCTTGTACGGTTCGTTTTCGCTTACTTGTCCAGGAAGTATAGGAGCCAGCCAGGCATGTCGTCCATCTCGAGTATCATTTATCCCATCGATAAGTTTGTTTGGTGTACGAATATCGTTGTCTATTCCTTCTATTATGTTGACGCTTTCGGGAAATGCAGCTACATCTAGCAAGAAATGATCGGCATTAACGGCAGGACTAACATTGATAAACATCAATACAAATACAAATAGAAATTATAAAAAATAATTCGAAATTCTCTTTTATTTCTTTTTCTGTTCATTTTTTTCAATTTTTCTGTTTTTCTCCTTTAAAGAAGCAGAGATTGCATAAAATTAAATTTGTCATGAAATCTCTCGCAGAGTTTTGCTGAAACTGAACGTACTATCTGCAGTTAATTTGATTTCTTTTCCATAATTATCATATAATTGTATTCCATTGAGGCCCACGTAGTAAGAATCTCCCCATGTAGAGAAAATTATTATTTGATAAACGAATCCGCGTGGCATCGACGGAGCTTCGTAGTTGGAATCGAAAGACTCGAATTCTAAAAAGTTATATGTGATGCACGATAGGACATTTTTTAATTTTTTATGCTTATATATAGATAGATATATACATAGATGCACGCACACTTCTATCTTGCCTGCTTTACACGCCGTCTCTGAATGACATATACCTTCGAGTGATTTTGTAATTGGATCGATGATTTGATTCGAAGATTGTTCTCGATTAGGTGGATTAAGGAAACTAATTTCTTGGACAAAATCATAATGACAAGATCCCGGCGCACGTCTCAATAGGAAGCCATCAGAATAATTCTCGTCATACAACTGTCTACCGTCTAATTTAATTAATAACTGTTTCACCTGTGCAAGAAGATTGGTCGTTGCAATCAGAATTCAGTTCTCTCATTTATTGAACAATGCGTTTGAATTATTTGCGCGCTCTCTCTTTCTCTCTTTCTCTCTTACTCCGCAATAAGACAACTCCAAAGATGCATTGTAATTCCAAATTCGAATTCCTGTCAGGAACACATCCATATCGAAAGTAATGGTTATCATAATCTTCTTATTTAACATTAAATCCGCTAGCCACATGTAATCCATTTCGGTTGTAACATTATGCCCATCAATTAGTCTCATTAAATGCGTATCAGCCGCGTTACAATGCAAATTGGCACTTACTAACGGGACTGCTACACCTTGATCCCCGATTAATTCTATACCGGTGAGGCCTATAACAAGAAAACCGGAAAGAAAGATTCGAATGCATGTCGCAGATTATATTATTATATAACGCTGCAGTTTGACTTGTGTCAATAATTAATTCAAGTAATTTACGCCATACCTACGCTTATACCTACCAACTAAATGCTGTAATCCCCAATTAGAAAGGATAATTAACTGAACCTCTCGGCAAGATAGAGGGGTAACAGCGGTATTGCGAATTTTGCTATTGGTATACGCGTTGGGAGAATTTTCAATAGAATCGTCGCTATTATTACGTCTCGCCGAAACAATCTAAAAAGAAATTACTATTATTGTATCTATCTTATTAACACATGCGGCGTGTTACGTTATACATATCGTTACCATTATTAAATGAAAATATTGATGCAATAATTAGCTGCTCTCTTACTTGATCATTGGTCATTGTTGCTGTTATTGGGCGAATTATTTCTTTCTCTTCACAATCTGATGTCCCATTATTGAATTCTATGAATGTATTATCATGTTTTGATATCAATTCCAGAATATTTTCGTCCGTCGTAAATAATATAGTCTACATCAGTCAATATTTTTGTGCATTACATATAAAATTGATTTCATTCAAATTTATATTATGTATGTGTGCGCGTGCGCGCGTGTGTGTACGTGTGTGTGATTAATAATTAAGTGTAATTAATTTATATGTATAGATCATTCTATGTGTCATTAATGTTTCTATAATGAAAGCTTTTATAAGACTTCTTACATCTCCAAAAGAATCAAGGCTACCCATATCATCTCCTGAAGCTTTAGCGATTTCTCCGTAAAAAATAATAATATCGTTCAATTTAATAATAACATCTTTGGCTCCTCGAAAGGAATGTATTCTAGATTTATTGTAATTCTGAAAGAAGAAAAGGAAATAATTTCAATTCAAGTGTATTTTTACACCAGCCGCGGCGCACACCTGCGCTGCATATATACTTGTACTTCTATGTGTATTTATAGATAATTTTTTTATGATTGTCGTAAAATAGATAAGAAATCCTACCCATATTCTGATCATCGCTATAGTAATCGTGAATTCAAATATCATGTAAACATAATGATGGTCACCATTTGAATAAGGTGTTAGCCATAAATTTGCATCGTCTCTTGTTCGATTGATACCATTAATTAAATTATTTATTGTATAAGGATGATCATTGTTCGGTGATTGATTAACGCTTGTCGTATGTGCACGTATCTCTTTTATTCTCGCTGGTTCTCCAGTATTTGAAAAAATTTCAATACCATTGAGACCTACGTAATGTTTGTCGCCCCAGGTAGAAATAATATCAATGACCAACGAGTCTCCGGATGGTAATTCAGGAATAATAAAATTTCTGTATAGTTTATCTAAAAATAATATATAAACTAAATTATATTTAATTCGTATTTGTATATTACAAAGATGCAGAATAATGCAACACGTTGATTGCCATGCTAGTCGTACTACTGTACTAACCGGCCGAAATTTATTAAAATCTTTTAAAGCTTTAATGTAAATCTTGTAAAAAGTAAAAAATATTATCCAATATAAAATTTTAAGTAACGCAAAAAAATAAATTAAAAACTAAATGTAAAGTAAAAAATGTGTTATTCAACACAATACTCTCTCATTGAGAATATACCGGCCGAGATATACACTACTGTCTACTTATTCATAATAGACGATATTTCGTCATTATATGCTTATGATAATGAGAATTCCTTTTCTTTAATGTACAGTAAAAATTGTAAGACAAGAAAGCTCGCTGGGCAGACAACGCGTTAATATTCTATATTTCTATTATATGCATGTGTAAGATGTATGTGTAAGCTTTCAACAAAGTGCAGGACATCAACCAGCTATTTGAAAAAGCTGGAAAAAAATAACAAATGATTTAACAAAATTGTTTTTAAATAACGCGGAGAGATTTAAAGATTTCATGATATTGACCAGATAATAATTTCGGATTTCCTTCATTCTGTGTACTACATATAGAATCGTTAAGATAATTGTCATCTGACAAATGTAATCGTGTATCTGCACGATTCGGGACACTTGATATTTGATGTTCAAAATAAGATTGATCCTCATCGCCAGTTTTATCATCGTTATAATTTCCGAATGTCAAATACATCCCATGCTTTTCCATCTGTTTTCTTTCCAAATATGCGTCCAAACCATGAAAATCATTCTTCGTACGATACTTTGCATTCACAACGGCAGAACAAGCGCGTGTTCTTCGTTTAACTTGTACTTGTTCGCTCTTTGGTGTATTCGGCAGTGATTTGCTCGTGCATGGTGTTTGTAATGTAATATTAGCATCGATATAAAGATGGCTCAAGTTTGATTGATAGCTATTAGGTTGATTGTTTCTATAATAATGTCAAAGCAAAATATCGCTTTATAATGCTATATCATATATTCTTGAAAAAATGAGCTATTGCCAAAAAATATATATAGATATCTTACGTATCTTCATCTTCCTTCTTGATGGTGATATTTTTTAAATGATGCTGATCATTGATTAAAACAAATGTTTCCATTTTTATTGATTTGGCATCGTTACTTGTATTAATCTTCTCTACATTGCTGATATAAAGGATAAAAAGTGGGAAACGATGTCATATTTATTCTTAAAAAGGTGAAAAGTAATAATGTGCGAAAGAATGCTACATACTCGGTCATCTCCATCAACCACGATGGCATTTTAAGCGCGTTGGCAGTCAAAGATGCAGTTTTATTCTCCATCTTATCATACGTAACATTATCCATACTTATTTATTTTCTTGTTTCACCACTGGTACCGTCGTATACGTCACCTTTACAATGATAATAATGACTCGCCAAATCAAATTGAATCACACAGATAATCTATTTATTTTATCGAAAAAATGTCAATTGCAATTTTTTCATTTTTTGAAAACATACACATATTAATTTTCATGATTATACGTTGTACAGATTCCAGATTGCTTAACTAATTGTTTAAAACCGATAATAACCGGTCAGAAATTCTTATCCATTGTCGGCTCGTTCGATTCTCGCTTTGTTTGCTGCTATTACTATGGAAACTCTTCTGAAGACTAGAATAGACGCGCCCCTATATGCAATTTTATATTGTACTAAGTATAATGATTATATAATACGTGCGCGCGCACACTATGTTACACCATTTCTACTATGATAAAAAGCAAGGTTTGCCAAGAAACAATTTTTGACCAATATATGTTTAATGTTTTATTTCTAATTAAGTATTACACTCATTGTCAAGAAGTGTGTGTGTGTGTGTGTGTGTGTGTGTGTATGCGCGCGCAAACACACACACGCACACGCACACACATGTATGTATATACTCGATAACAGCAATGTGTGTGTGTTGTGTTACATATTTCTCCACGATATTTTGGTCCACGAAGTATACAACAACAAAAATAGATAGTGAATAACTTGTAACTGATAATCATTTTGTACTTTGCTCCTTGCGATCTCACAGCACATATATACATCGCAAATTAATATTCTTATTACATCAAGACTTTCGTAATATTTCACATTGTCAGTACTATACATTCTATATACATACCTACATACATACGTGCGTGTGCGCGCGCGCAAAGTGATCCCGAGTTAAACTGTCAAATTTAAAAAATGAATTTACGATCTCAAAATAAATAAAAGTTTCCTCTGAAAGTTTACTCACAAACATTTTGTTTAAAAACTATTGATTTCTTAAGTTACAGAACAAAGGGATAAATAATGTCGAAATAATCTACGTATTTCCCCTTTATTGTCTTAATAATCAAAATGTAATTAATAAATGTTTTGTTCAAAATGATGGCTTCAAGCCGTAAAAGACAAGCATTGTGTCTCTTTTATCAAAAAAAGAATGAATGACGAACATTATGCGTCTGTAATTTCTTCGCATTATCTTCCATTTTAATGATTGAAGTTCATTAGCGGACACTTGGTACACTTTTTGCTTCAGAGTAAAACAAAGAGATATTTTGATATTAATCATTCCTATATATAGTTCAGTAACTTAAGAGGTCAATATCTCTTAAATAAAATGTTTGCGAGCAAATTTCAGAGGAAAATTTTGTTTGTTTATATATATATATATATATATATCGTTTCGATATAAACATATTATAATTTAACTGTAACAAGTACATAATTGCTATATAAACCTATATAATTTCGTTCAATTATATATCTAGTAATAATACAAATAAGGCCATTTGCTCAACATACTATATTTCAAAAAACGCTCTATAATTTCAGCAAAGTATATTATACAATTTTTCTTTATTTTTTGTGATTCCCTACTAAAATGTTAGCGAAACAAGTATGATTCAAATAATACATTCATTTGTTTTTCCTTAAAGAAATGTCAATAATTCATTGGAAATATTCTAAGATAGGACATACGCGAGTTTAATTTAATTTTGGCACAATATATCTGCAAATAGAAAGACACTTCTAGCAGAAAATAAATATATGTATTCAATCAACTTGATTTCCATTCATCGCTAAGGTAAAACTTGGCATTTATACTTTGTAAAGATTCTAATATAGAAGTTTACTATTTAATATAGAAGTTTTATTTTATCAAACTTATATAGTATAAAACAAAATAATGTTTTTCCCAAAAAATATTCCATCTGTATTTGAAAAAGTACAGGAATGATAAAATTTTCTTTCTTACTTAATAATTATTCACGAGTGATATCGAAACATTAAATCTGATACTAAATGGAATATGAATGATACAATATTCGCTATAGAAGTATATTCGAACTCGTCATGTAATTAGCAATATAACTGCATTATATTAATATTTGTTAATGTAATATCATATTTTTTGTCTTATTTTTAATATGTAACACATTCATAATATATGAATGAAGTCTTATATGGCCGTCAGGTACTTAAAAATCTTCCTTTTTCATTCGTTTTAATACATACCACTACGCTTTTTCATAGCGTTTATTGCGTTTATACATTATATATACACGATTTCTGTTTACTGAGAGAGACATTTGAAATTACGAGATGTCTAATTAGTAGACCAGCACATATGCAAATCACGATTAAAAAATAAATTTGTTCTTATCAAAAAGTCTGAAAATATATAGGCATGTACATAAATTAAATAATATCCTTCTACCGTAAAATATTTACCCTTTATAAAACTGTTACATTTTAGAATATTTAACATTTGGAAGAAACAGTGTAGAAAACAGTATACCACTCTTACAATTCTATATGAGGCTTTAGTATATTAGATAATTGTGGCATGCTACCGGCAGATGGTCCAAGAATATTCGTCGAGTCTGTTTCAGGAAATACATGGTTCAGAATCGCGTAATAATGAAATCCAGCCGCCGCAGCTACGAAAAGATGCCAAATTGCGTGCGCGCAAGGTATACGACCATCCGATTTGAAAAATACTAAGCCAAGAACATACATCAGCCCACCCAGTTTCAATTCCGTAATATTGTAATAATTATACTGTAAAAATATTTATCATAAATTAATCGAGATATTATTAAAATAGGATTATTTTAAATCGTATAAAATATATTTTGTTTGAGCAAAATGTTTCTTGTGTTCATTCTTTTCTAAAATGAAATTCAAGCAATTATGAGCAATCTGAATACAATGTTACTTTACTTACAACATTAAGAATCGCGACGCTAGGTCCAATACCCATAACCACATAGAAAATAGTTTCGAGCATCTTGTATCTCTCGTGAAAGATCTGCTGATAGAGGATACCCATTACAGCCATGATCCAAACGACATATCGCATCGCGAACAAAAGTTCATCGTCTGAGAAGTGTTCTATATTTAACCATGGAAAGTAACTGGCTGCTATGAAGATGTAAATCATAGCACGATCGCAACGATGCAACGCATCTTTTAATTGTCTAAAATATTATGCGCGATGAATGTCTTGTTTACCGTCTTACGTGTCTCAAAGAATTTGAAATAAATAAGAATTAACGGATAAAAACTATGATTAAATAATTGTACCTGTTATGATTGCAATAGTGCACACTGTGGAAGAAAGTCGATACTGCAAAGACAAGAATCAAGGAAGTGCCGTATACGCAAGCTGAAACAAACTGAGCCCATGTTGATGAACGGTGTATAAGCTCGATACCGCCAATTATCGAAGGTACAACCCATATTCCGTGAGTTGCCACATTTGCCATATGTTCGATTGATGTAGGAGTATATGCCTCATTTATGCATGCTCTCGGATTCATCCACTTTATCCTATAAGTCAATTCACAATTGCATACTTTGTCCTTTTTTTCTACTTGCTTTCTTAATTGTAAAAATTTACTAAATTAAATTTCATAAAATTGTATTTAAATTATTAGGTGTTGGAATTAATTCGTAGCGTTTTACAAGTGATGGGAAGTACTTTCATTAATGTATTTTTTAATGCTCATGTGAAATAAATAACATTCTTTCATTAAAAAACGCTACGAATTAATTCCAACACCTAATATATTGAGAAAAATAATGGGATAAAAATAATAGAATTATATATCTCCTTTAATATAATGCAAATATATTCTACAGTTTCAAAGTACTATGAAAGACATCGATAAAATATCGTTAAAACTAATAATGCTCCATAACAATTCGTTTATCACATTTGTACATAATATATTATGCTGATCAGCATTAACGCGATAAAAAACTGTTATATGAAAAAAACATGTCCAGTTATTATATAAAATGAAAAAAAATTAAGGAAGATTATATAAAAGGAAATTTAATCGAGTCCATACAAAGCAGATAAAATTAGGGAATATTGCAATATTTGCTATAGCATACTACTATAAATGTAGGTGACAGGTGTATTTTTATTATTATAAATTTAATTGTGATATCCATCCACAATCTCTAAAGAAAGTTTAAATTTCAAATTTTCTTTATTAACTCATAGATGAATATCTTGACAGAATTTAACAAAAATACATGCTATCTCAAGTTATTTATACTGTCCCAAGTCACCTACATTTGCAGTACATTAGGTTTAGATATGTAAGTACATAGTATATATAGTGCAGTAATAGATTAAAGGCGTAAGAAATTAAAAATTAAATGATTATACTACAATACATTTTCTCTGTTGTGTGTGTGTGTGTGTGTGTGTGTGTGTGTGTGTGTGTGTGTGTGTGTGTGTGTGTGTGTGTCATAAAGCTCATTTTAAATTTCCTAAGCATTATGACAAAGTACATGCACATCATGGAAAAGCATATATGCATATTACAATACACATGATATATATATATATATTGTTCAACTACTTTAAGAAGAGGAAAGTATAATCCACACTACAGCATAGGATTTCTTTTCGTGTGTCCATATTGGTAGAATGGTCCATAGAGTACATTGCCAGAAGATACTTTGATCATGTATTATCTTACAAGCGGTGCTAGTGCATTCTGTTAAAATTTGTACACTGTCTTAAGATTTTGCTATATATGCATAATCACTTTTGAGCCCAAGTAACACAATATGATTGCAAGCTAATAGAAAAACTGAATGGAATTGTTTTTGATTAGATAATAATAAATACATAATTAGATAATATTAAAGTGTATCTAATGTTTTTCTTTAACATATCATAAAATATAATTTGTTATTTCTTTTTGCAAACCCATCTATCCTATACAATAAAGACTTGAACTCTCAACTAGTGTAGCTATGGCAAAACGTGCGTATAACATATTATAAAATTAAATTTATCAGCTACCATTTACTAACCGTACTGTAACTTGGCAAAACTTAGCTAGTAGTAAAGTATCATGTTCACAACTTTGATTAATAATATTACAATAACTGTATATCATCCAATCAATTGTCAGATCTTTCATATACGAGATGCCTAATGAACACCCAATGTATAACCGATTATTTGATAATATATTTACTTATCAATTCATGCATGGATATAAATTACTTTGCATATAAATAGATGTTACATGCCAAACGTCCAGCTGAATTCCAAGGATGCAAAAATGCAAAACTATAAGAATAAAGATTAAATCAGAGCAGAGCGGATTATCTAAGATAATGAGTTAGCAAACATTAGGGGAGATTAGGAGACTTAATTTTTTATTATCAAGGAGACTTAATTTTTTTATTATTGACTCGAATTAAATTAAAAAAATTATATAGTAATAGGCATACTGATTGTACTTGTACAAGCCGTTCGTCAGAATGACATTTTAAAAAACATTTGGCTTTATAACATTCTTACATACACAATTTATTGAATTGTGCAATCCATAATACAATCTGTATTCACATCTTACTCTTTGATTCGTTGCAGTTGCAGGAAATTTTTTATGGGTGCTGTGATGACTTGATGAAGGCAGGTACCGTCCATGACGTTAGGTAAAATTATAGTGTAAAATTTCAACTATGACAGTAGAGTATTTGTCGATCCTTGTTTATCTTGACAGATCAGGGCTTCCAATGATTTCTTATGGATGATGTGGTTAACGACGGTGTAACAACTGTCGAGAAAGCTGCGTCTTCCATCGCATATTGATAGACTCGTAACAATTTATGTTCGACATGACAAGTGGACGAGTCGCTCTGATCGTTCACCGTGTACCCATACGTGATCGTAGTGATCGTACGTAATTTGTCTTCTATTTCGGAACGAACTAGTTTCGTCACTCAGCGATCATTCGTTCTGAGGAAGAAAGCCATCAAGCTAAGGACGGCAAACGCCTGATAAACGACAACACTAGGCAATACAATACTGATAAGTGATAACAATATTTAATGACTTGGATTATTTCGACTTCGCGAGTTATGGGTGAGGGTGAGAGCGAAGACAAGGGCAAGCGAGTGCAGACGAGAGCACTTTCCATTAAGGCTCTAGGCCCATATTTAGAACGCGCTTAATGTTAGCGCGATAACATGCTATAATTTATGTTACGCATACTATAGAATTTTAAAGATAAAAGCGCGTTCTGAATACAGGCCTAGGATTCTAGTGCTGCTAATGCTTTAAAGCTTTTGATTGATCAAGAAGAAAGAATTTTACTAATTGACCAATCCAAAAATGCTTCGAAGTTTTCATAGAATACTCCCCGTACGCAATATCTTGATGCATTAGATGCAATAGTGAATTAAAATGGCGCTCTGATCACGTGATTCAGACAGCCAATTAGATCATATCCCTTTATGTCGCATCTCTATTATCTAGGCCTCTATATGTTAAATATTGGGTCATCTAAAAAGTATCCGCGGTTTTTTGTCACTAGATGTGTGTTGATGGTCATATATCTAGTGACAAAGTACCGCGGACTTTTTAGATGACCCAATACATGTAATAGAGGAGAAAAGAAGCAAGCGGCATGGTTTGCGCGGTTCCTATAGTTATCTAGTTAGTTTTTGTACCGCATACCGTGTGTACCGCGCTACATGTAATCGCACCCTTAGTCTACAATAGATGTTTTAAGCCTCAATCCGTAAGAAATTGACAAACTACAATGCGAAAAGAATAATCGGTTGTGATTTGTTCATTTCTTATGATTTAAGGCTTAAAAATCTATTATAAATCCGGCCTTACAGTAGAAAATAATTGACTACGATTTATAATTGGCTGCGAGAAAAATAACTGACTACGATTTGTCCATTTCTTATAGCTTAAAACTTATGCGAGGTCTACAATAGAAGTCGTAGCGGTCGTAGAGTCTTAAGTCGTAAAAAATTTACCGATCAGTCGAATATAAGAATAATCGACTATGATTGGACAATTTTCTTTATGATTTATTGTATGATAAATTTGATTATAAAATTGATAATTGAATATTAATGATACATAATATTATGCGATTTATATAATTAACGTACGATATTATTATACGGAACGTAAAATGTAAACAAATGGAGAAGGCTCTGATTTTTAGAATGTACATACTGGTAACTGGAAGGGTCATACCGTAACCAATGGTTGCGTTCAGCGAACTCAACATTTGAGTGAGCGCTCGCTATTATTGCTGTATTTTTCCGGATCATTCAATCAACATTTTAGATCTGGAAGAATATGTCAATAGCAACGCTCTCTCAACTATCGAGTCCGCTGAACGCAGCCAATGTAACAGAAGTGTCTCCAACATCTGCCCTTGTCTGAATGCTTGTTTGCTGTGCGCCTGCATGTAATGATATGTGTAATTCGAATTTGAAATAATGTAGAATAGTTATCAAAATGTTATTTGAAATTTGAAAACGATGGAAAAGAATGTTCCCAGCGATCAAATTGTCATCGTTGTTGATTATAAGTATACACTTAAAATACACATATTTTATATATTTATATAATTTAAATTAATTCAATACATAACCTTAAAGCCTGACTTAAAATTATCTACGAAATAAAGCTATACTCACACATAAAGAGATATTTTATTTTGCTTCGTAGATATTTTGAGACATATAACGCAATAACGTCCCATTTTTTACTAATTTTATATGCTTTCGTTTCGCGAAGTTTTAACGTATGTACATATGGATATTCATAATCGACCCATGCGTATCACGGTGAAACATTCACACAAGGACATATAGATGTGATGCCATCAACAATCGCCTATGGTCCTTCCAATATGTATGTCCTACACTCCGATTGCACACATCGCAAGTTGCACAAATGTATTACTAATTGGCCAATTAAAAAATAAAATATTCTCATTGGTAAAGCAGTGAAAAATTATTAAGCATCAGCTGATATGAGTGGTGTGCAATCAGAATTGTAGGCAAATGGGATTCTCCCAACAAATGAGTCTTCCTATACCTGGAATTATCATGTTTAGTTTATGTCAAAATATGAAAAGTGAAATAAATATTTATGACACGAAAAATTAGAATATATACAATATTTGAATTGAGCATGATATTATAAAGTAAATGTACTTTTCATGTACAATTGGAAAAAAATGATTCATCTTCTTTTCTAATCACATCTCGCTTTATCTGACATTGCAACATCTGAAAACAGCGTAGTACGCAACTGGAAAGAAAAATGCAAATAAAAATTGATAGTATACATATACTAAACATATATATAATAATTAATATAATATCTACACAAATATGATATGTATCTAAACGTAATGTAATATAATAATATGACACTTACATTCTCTTTGTTTCTATTCTGACATTGTTCCGAGTCACAATTACAATTGTTGCAGGTAACGCCATTCTTACGACACGTACATACCCGCGTAGCACATTTTGTTTTACAAGCACATTTTATCGGATTTTCATTATCAGGTTCTATTTTATTAAAAGTCAATCGTTGAATTGAGAATTTCGATTTATTCTAAATAAAGAAAATAATTATTGAAATTCCAATAATTTTACACAATTGTATAGATTATATCGTTTTTGTACATACAACAAGGGACCCTCGTGAAGTGTTAAATTCTGATTTTGATGAAACTTTATATGTGTATACATATTGATTATATAAAAAGATGAATAGAAAATATCAGTTGCGAAGGAAAAAACGGTTTTTTAAAAGACTAGCGCATAAGAAGTAGGAACAGGAACAGAGACTAATAGCGTATTCGTATTTACTTACTGACACCAAGTCGACACTCTATTCTATTTAGTTGCATTCCTTGCACAATTCAGCTCTTCTTTTGCAGCTGAACAGAACATTAATTCGGAGTCGAGTCAAGTCAGTAAATCTAACACGCTTTAAGAATTTCAACCTGTCAGAAACTGTGTATTCCACAGTGCATGATTTCCGAGTGGTTGAAATTCTTATTCTCTGTTCCTTTGATTGCGCAGATCCCTAAGGGGTGAAATCATCTCTTATTTGTTATGTTTAATTACTTTTTAAAAACATTATTGACATGAGTAAATAAAGATAATTAAAATTATTACAGAAATCATTGTTTTGTAGAAAAAAATATTTTTTGATCTCCGGAATAGTCTCCGAGATATCAAAAAAGCTAAAACCCATGTTTACCTATAAGAAGGTGATTTCTTTCCTTAAAATTATTTGTTCGCCACAACTAATATTTTTTAAATTCATCTTTTTATGTAATCTATGTGTGTACAAAGTTTCATTAAAATCAGAATTTAACACTTTGCGAGGTTCCCTCGTTAGTAACAAAAACTGTATGACAAAAATGAACACAGAAATAAACAAGTATCGATAAGATATATATGACATTTATCGTAATTAAGATAGTTTGTAATACAAATTTACCTGTAATTTTTGTATTCGACTATAAAGCGGCGTTTTTTTCCAATCTGGATCTTTATCGACATCGTCCTCCATCATTGAACTGTCATCGTATGATAGATAAGCATTCTCATCGACTATTTCTTCTTTTATTTTACTTTCCGTCTTTCTTTTCTTGAACGATAATTTTTTATTTCCATTTAAATTCTCTGTCAAAACCTAAAACGCATAATAATAATAATTTCATTCTTTTTTCTGAGTAAGCAGACAGAGCATGCTTACTTTTTTTTATAAACGTTTCATAAAATTAATTAATACCTGTCTCTTCATAGATTTTGTCAAAGATTTGTCAGTATCACTAGAAAACGTATCAGATGAATCTTGCGAACAAGATATTTTATTCACTCTCTCCTGTTTTTCATACTCTTCTAGTCGTGCTTCTAGATACTGATACTTTTCCTAAAATGTAAATTATCTTTATATAATTCACTTCAGGGCATATTATATGTATATCCACATAATATACATATAAACATGTACATTATATATAAACATGCAATATTTCTCTATGGTATGTACTAACTCTCAATTCGTTATATTTGTAACATTGTTGCTTCCTGTCTTGTGTAACTACATGAAATGCTGTTTCAAGTGCTACTTTTGCGTCCATTATTGTACGTATCATATTCCATCGAGTATTTGTTCTAGTTTCTAAAGAAAAAGAAATTTGTTGACGGATTACTACACTTGCTAGTAAAGTAACTCTCAATGTTCCTCGCTCAATAAAATTACTTAAATCAATTTCACAGAGATCTTACCCTGATCTGACTCAAGAATCTTTTGTTGTAGATCTGCAATTTGCATGTTACGTAATTCTATGAATTCAGTAACAGTTGCAAATTCATTTTCATCCGGATCGGTATTTTTTTTAAGTTGCTCCAATTGATGTACCAACGAAGCTCTATCTTGCATCAGTTTTTCAAGAGAATAATCTGCTTCTACAGTGGCCATTAATATTTCTATTTCTTGAGCGATCCAAGTTTTTATCTCTTCTTTGCTATTAGCCTTCTTTTCTTGTCGTTGCATTGCCTTTTTCTGCATCTCCAAAGCACCCTGCCATACATAAATCACTCAGCTTAATAGGTCGCATAGAAATACCGTTATAAAATGCTAATATGTAATAAACGTATCACTAGACAGAATAGGTATCTACAGCGATATTTCCATTTTGCGGAATCTACAGCGCTTGTAAGTATTATTTATTCTTGTTAAATATTTAATAAACAATAAGAATGAAATAATGCTTACAAACGGAACGCATCTATATCGTCGGTAAAGAAACGTACCTTTAATCTTTTGTTAACTGCAAAAGCTTCCTCCATTTTTCTTTTAAAAACATTCTCCTGTTTATTATGTTCTATTTTCATGCGTACCATTTCGTAAGCACGTTTATGATCCTGCTTTCTTAATTTAATAATTTCCTTTTCCTTGGATTGTTTCCACTTTGTAAAATTATTTGCATCGTTGCGCATCTGTCTGATAAGCTTGACTCGAGTTTCTTTTAATGATTGTATCTCACTGGAGAGAGTTTTAATTCTTTGATCTTGCTTCTCCTTCGCTTTGATTATCTTGTTTTGTTCTATGCATCTACGTGTCAATTCCGCTATCTTTTTTTCCAGTTCTTGTACTCTTTTACGACGCGTCTCAGCCAATCTGTGCACAAAGAACATTTAAATAAAATATTAGACTCTACAATGTAATACATGTAATATGTACAGATGTAATAAGTCTTTTTTTAAGTTATGAGACGTTAATTAGTCCTAAGCTATAAACTTTACCGTTGAGATCTGATTAGCTTACTTAAAGTTTACGCCTTAAGGTAAAAAGATTTTTTAGAAAAATCTAGAAAAAAAGTCATGTCACAATTTAGAGTTCAGAACAAAAGACTAAAGACGTAATAGTACACTTGTCGATTAGTACTCATATTTTTTATAACTCTTAACGGCAGTATCGTTACATTATCGTTATATATAGGATGTTCCAGAATGATTATTAAAAGCTAATATTTGGTGATTTTTAGTAATTGATATCTTGTTAACTATTGCAAAAATTGCACAATGATAGAGGACTTTTCGACTCAGTTTAATGCGCTCTACCTATGCACGAAATATTTGACGGTCATTCTAGGACACCCTTATACATACGTACATACATATATACACACACACACACACACACACACACACACACACACACACACACATATATATATATATATATATTACATTATTGTAACATGGCACATTTTATATATATATATATATATTGGGTCATCTAAAAAGTATCCGCAGTTTTTTGTTACTAAATTGTGTTGATGGTCAACACCATCTAGTGACAAAAAACCGCGGATACTTTTTAGATGACTCAATATATATAATAAAAAAAGCCAATATTAAAAATTTATAACAAAAAAAGCTGATACTGTCATTATTAAAAATTATAGAAT